TGGAAAAAGTTCTTGTACTGAAAGCTCCAATACAAATACAAATCTACTTGTTTCGGAGTAGACAGGGGCTTGTTTTTTCCACACAACATGACCTTGACTTGAGTGTGCATTCATGAGAATTAAGATTTGATTACAGTCCTCCACGAAACCGCTTACTCAAGAGGAAGGGAAATATGTTGACAACTGATTGAAAATCGGTTCTCGTAGCTCAAATTTTTCATAGTTGAAAGTTTTTTACGGGAAATAATCACAACCGGTGGCTCTTCTTATCCCATAAGGTTCTTCCCACGACTGGATTGATATACGGTTCATAGAAAGATGAGGAACGTCATAAATTATTTTTATTCCATGTCAGACTGCTACATATGTCGAAATTTAAGATATGACAATGTTGCATCCTGTTTGTGTTTGAAATAACCAATTGTGGGCGCAGAAACAACATGAAGTGGTAGAGAATTCCAAATACTGCACACTCTGACGGCAAACGAATGACGTCAGCCTTCTGGTCAACATTTTTGGTGCCCTAATTTGAACGAGTGCCCCTTGAGTTGGGCAACAAGGTGAACTGTAAATGACGTGGGTAATCAGGATTCTGCATTATTTGATACACCAAGTCAAATTCCGCCGAATTCGGTGATACCGTGGGGAGTAAAATTCCAATGATTTCATTGTGCCCATATAAATATTGGAATGTAGTCCCTTGACCATTCGGATGGCCATTGTTTGTGGACATTCCAAAAGCCTGACGATCGCGTTGCAGCCATGGATTCCATGCCTAAATGTGGGCTCAAATGTAGGCTGATATCAAACCCGGGAATAACATCGGTTCAGATTTGCCAAACACTCGCTTTAGAAAGCCAACATGTCGTGTGGCGGCGCCCTGGCACCGAGATTCTTCTCGTTGGAGCTATACGGAAATTGTTGATAACCCAGGAGACATGGAAACCGAGTTTTGTGACGAACGGATACGACCGTACATTTTGGTGCATTGAATTCGTTTATTTTTATTTCGATCGAAGTGGATGTAATCCATGTTTACCTGTTCGCTCTGAGCTAGACAATTTGTTTGCAAACATTCCATCACCGGCCGAGAATTGCCTGAAGTTTGTCGTTCTCCAAATCACGGTTAGAACGCACACGTGCGAATAAATGTATTGTATTGTATTGTACTGTATTGTATTGCATTTGTAACTTGTGTAAGCATATATGCTTACATTTCAGTTAAAAATGTACACTGTTCGGCTATATGCTGGACCTGATCTCACCGACGACCTTTCTTAGCAAGGAACCAGGGAATCACTCGAATCAAATGAATCCGCTCGATGCTGAACTGGAACAAGTCCAATGGAATTAAAGGATCCAATCGCCCAAAGGAAATCATACTACAGACTCCTGAGGAGAGCACTGAATTGTTCTTTCTGAACGATTTCAAAACGTGCACAACCAAGTTGCTCACATCGACGAACAGACGAAGATGAAAATAGTCAACTTAGATCACGCTGTTCTTGTCGTTCTCAAACAGAAACTCCCCCAGCAACGGGGATGGATTACAGCACCGATTATTGATCTCGTACCAACAGTGGGAGAGGGGGAGGGGGTTGGGTGGGAGCAACTCATTTGCTCGAATAGATTCCATTGGGCAAGTTATCAGTTCGGACGCGAATACTGGTTAGCAGTTCCCTCTTCAAGGTCCGTTTTTTTTTGTTGACTGGCAAAGGACTCAATTCTTGACGTGCATCCCCCACCCCCACACCCTAGTAGGTAGGTGCGAACACCATCCGGACCGGGTAACTCTGTTCCCTCCATCAGGGGAGGATACAAACATGATTAAAACACGGATAACAGTTTTCAGTATTTATCTATCTACCCTCCGTTTGGTTTCCATGCAGTTGTTGAAACCTGTCGCGGTTGGAATGAGACCCAGATCCAAACTTTCAATTGCAATTTATTTTATGAGATCTAAATTCCATGTTATAGTTGTTGTCCGTGTTGTCATTTGTTTGTTTTCTATTTCGTTGTACATGTCGCCTCATTTTTACATTATATACCTAGTGTGCATGCATGCATTCGGTTGTCACGTTGGCATCATCCACCGCCAAATCCGATGTTGCTCACTGAACTCCTTGTCCACGTGCTCTTCCTCTCCTCGACTCCGGTCGTCTGATCCCTTGCACCTTGTCAGACGTGTCCGTTATCAGCTTCCCTCCGATCCCGCGCAAACCACGACTGCGACCACATTAGCTCGTCGCGTTCGGCCCATCTATTTTCTCTTTCCAGAAAAACGTGCTCCACGACGAGCGAGTTGGTTTCCACCTGGGTACTGTTTGTTTCAAACGTTCACACCCTCCCCGCCCCCTACCCACACACACACTCACGTGGTTGTTCATAACGGGTGTTTTGGTTTGTCCACACTTACAATCTGTTTGTGTGCTGTCTCTCTCTTTCACACACAATACTCTAGGTGGGATTGGCTCTGTTCGTTTGTCTTCCCCAATTCTAATCCAACCGAACGGGGTCATTGCACATGCGCATCCTGGTTCGGGGCTTATTGCTTTGTATATTGTGGTGTATTCTGGCCTGCCACCTCAAACCGCGACGCTGTTGACG